TAACCAGAACTCTATCTGGGCCAGGCTTTTCTTTGTCAGACTTTTAAATTTCAAACTAATTCAACAGAGTTAAGAGAGAAAACATTGTATGATATCAACCCTTTTAATTTATTATCTTAAATTCTATAGTCTCAAGGATTTAATCTGTTTATAGACAAATTTGGGGGCTCACCCCTATTTGAATCTCTTCTTTTTTGATAATACCTTTACATTCCAACTTTATTGGCAATTACCACCCTTGTCCTCTTACTCTGAGGCAGAAAGTCTTAGTTTTATGCTGGTCTTTTGGCTGACTTCACTGTGCAGACTGCGGAACACCCTTGAACGAAGATCCATAGAATTGCAAATATTACATGTTGCAATTTAATTCTGCAGGTTAAAATTTTTATTATAAGAGTATAGTGTACTTTTATTTCAAGAATATTTTTTTATGCCTGACCCTAAATTTACTGATCCCAAAATTAATCTTGCCACCATTTTCCCCTCTTTCACCCAAAATTGCTAATTGACTTTTCTTTCCTGTTCCAAAGCAGACAATAGCAAAACAATTTGTGATTTCATGAAAAATATTTGGGGCTTCTTTAATATCAATTTCTAGGTGCCTTAGGGCTAAAACTAAAGAGCCAAGTCTTCAGGAAAGTTACCTTTTAAATGTCCACTCCGCATCCATTAAGTATTTCATCACCATGGAAACCTGTATTCTTTAAAAATTATGCAAATCATTGGGAATTCTCCATTCACTGGAAATAGGTCCCTCTTGCAAGAGAAATATTGTCTCAATTTGCATACTGTTAATTAAATCATACAGCAGTCAAATATTGTGTTATGTTTTTGAACTAGTAGATGATTTCCTTTTTTAGCACAATGATTGATTTCACTAAATTTTGGTCTGCTCTATTTTAAATTTAAATTTCATATAGAGTTTAAATGGTTATCACAAGGAATGTTAGTCAATGAAAACAATGTTTTTATTCAACACAATTCAAAACAATGTTTCCATTCCCTGCACATTTTATGTAGTAACATATGATGATGTCAGAGTGTGGTAGAGGTAGAACAGAGACAGGATAATCTACCTCTGCTTCTGAGTATAGGTGGCAGATTGCACCCTAAGGTAGAGGCAGATCACCTGCAGAGAATGCAGTTGGATAAGCTTGGTGCTTAGTAAGACAGGTCCTGTGTCCATTTCTGCCTTTAGTCTCCTGGGATGCGTACAAGGTTTTCTTCCTTGGAAAGTAATCACTTGGCTTAAGTTCAGGTACAAAGAAGAAAGGGAACAGATGCCCTGAGTAAGAGGCAGAGGGAACTGGGACAGCTGACATTACACCTCATGTCTTCCCTGAACAACAGTGATCATAAGACCTGGCTTTGGGTCTCTCAATGGGTCTGAGGGGCACCACTACCCCTGGTGGCTGCTCTGTTAAATGTCTGTCTCATACTATGACTTGCCCCCTTTTCTTACCCAGGCTACTGAGCAGTGGGATATGGAGAGTGTTTCACTAGCAGGGCTGGTGACCAGAACCCGGTGATGAGTAGAAGCAAATTTCTGCCACAGATGAGCCATGACACTTTACAAGATTTTCTGATCATAGGGGCTAATGATGACAGCGAATAGAAAGTGAACAGGGTTTCCTTTAGGGACAATGAAAGAGTCATGAAAATAGGTAGTGGTGATCATTGCACGATATTGTAAATGTAAATGGTGGGAGTAGTATGCCGTGAAGTTGGTTTTGACTCATAGCGACCCTGTATAGGGTTCCCAAGTCTGTAAATCTTCACGGAAGCAGAAAGCCTCATCTTTCTCCCATGAAATAGCTGGTAGTTTCAAACCGATGACCTTGAGGTTAGCAGCCCGATTCATCACCACTTCGCTACCAGAGCTCCTTAAGACTACATAATACAATGCACCTTGTTGTTGTTGTTAAGTGCCATTGAGTCGGTTCAGACCCATAACTACCCTGTATAGGGTTTCCGAAGAACAGCTGGTGAGTTTGAAGCGCCGACCTTGCAATTCAAAGGTCTTTGCAGTTTGGCGCGTTAACCCACAGGGCCACACCAGTAAACTTTTACTACAACAGACTATATGAATAAGAACAGTGTCCTTGTTTATTGATATATGGAAGCCCCTGTAACAGTGAGATAGTTCCCCTCAGGCTCCAACAGCAGCCCTTCAAGGCCCCACCACCTTCTGGAGCCTCAGCATCAGAAGGGCCCATCAGCACCCTCAAAGATCCAAGGTCTGCAATCTTCAGTGGTGATAGGGCCATGTGACCAGCAGAGGGCACTGTGAGCCTGTTCTCTGAGGGCTCATGGCTGGGCCTACCTCAGTGAAGTTGGAGAATTGAGACAACAGTGAGTTCTGGGAGTTGTGGCTTGATGCAGCTGTCAGAACCTCCCATGGCTGCCCTCCAGGATCTCCCTATCCCACGGGGCCTAGGTCAGGTGAAGTTCTCTTGTATCTCTTCCTCTTCTTACAACAGAGACATTGCCCAGGACTGGGAACTCTGGGGGTGGTCTAGGAGTAGGGACATATTTGAATGCAGAAACTCCACCCCCATGTGCCTAGTGAGAGAATAAGAGAGACTGAGGGTTGTCCACGGTGCTTGTTGGAGCTTCTGGAGCACATGCACCATGGCCTGGGCCTCTCTCCTTCTCTTTCTATGCACAGGTGAGGGCAGGGCCGGCTAAGGCTACAAGGCTCCTTGGGAACTTCCCACTTCTTATTCACCTATGCCTTTCTCCCTCACTCACTTACTCACTGTTCTCTTTTTTCTCTACAGTGTCTGTGACTCAGGCTGGGCTGACTCAGCCGTCCTCAGTGTCTAAGGGGCTAAAAGAGACAATCACAATCACCTGCACTGGAGACAGCAATAATGTAGGTTATAATGGAGCACAATGGATGCAGCAGCGTGAGAGTCAGGCACCCCAAACTCTTATATACAGGAATAATAACCGGCACCCAGGAATCTCAGAGAGGTTCTCTGGCTCCAGGTCTGGCAATGTGGCCACCCTGAGCATTTCTGACTTGTAACTGGAAGATGTGTCTCTCTATTACTGTGTAGCCTGGGACAAAGGCCTCAGTGGTTACACAGTGCTTGAAGTCAGTGGGGAAATGAGATAAAAACCTACAAACCGATGAGCTTCCTTCTGCCTACTCACTACTCAGAGCCTTGGGTACAATGGACCTTTGAGGAGATGTGGGCTGGGTTCCTGCTGGACAATTTGAAGACTTGGCAACTGAACCAGGTGGAGACCTGGTTGGCTAGCAGTGTGGCCAGACCTGGGTACTCTTTGGCCCAGAGTCCGTGACATAGCCACAGAGGACTAGAGTGGAGAGTAAAGTGGCCAGCTGAGAAGAAGAGAGGGCATATGCACAAGAACACCCACACTTGCAGATAATAACCACTTGACCTGGCTTCAATGACTGGATGATCAGAGTTTAACTAGAAGAAGAAAGAAAAGGAAAAAAAGAGTAATCTGATACAATTTGATGAACTTGACCTACACCTATGGATGCAGTAGCTCAAAAGAGGGAACAAATCCTTACAGTGAGGATCATTCCCAACCCCTCCATACACAGAGTAGACAGGGATGGGCAACTTGGACATTGGCTGCCCAAAATGAGGAGGCTACTAAGGCAAGAAGTGACTGGTTTACAAGCTTTCAAGAGGGAACCTAATTCCAGAAGGCATGGAAGAAGGTCAAATCTCCACTGAGTAGTATCTCATCTGTTTGGGCAGGACTGATGAAAGGAAATGGGGATAGGTATTTTGTGATACAATAGTGAATAATTGTTTTCAGGACTGACTGTGAGGGTTGGAAATGTAAACGTTAGACATTTTGTAGCAAAAGGAGGGGAGTCACTGATTTTGCAGTCTAGGAGTGGAGGTCCATGGAACCATCAAGGGAGAAGAGTGGAGAGCAGGACCCTAACCAGAGAATCAGTAAAGCCAGAGATAGAGGCAGAGTTAATGACATGGAGAAATAGAACAGTTGGGGACTTTAGACCCAGAGAGGGAGAGGGTCTGTGTGCTGACGACCGGGGTTAGGGGGACAGGCTTGCAGGATATATCCTTTGGTTGGCTGATGATGCATGGAGGGAATTGTAACCATGACAATGAAATGGTATACGATAGCATGAATGATGTAAACCTAATGTTCTTCCATGTAAACTATCACATATCTCAAAATAAAACATTAAAATAAAATAAAAAAGATGGAACTCCTGGAGAGACAGCTCAAGGAAGCTAAGCACATTGCAGAAGAGGCAGATCAGAAGTATGAGGAGGTGGCTTCTAAGTTGGTGACTATTGAAGGGGACTTGGAACGAACAGAGGATCGAGCTGCATTGGCAGAATCCTGTTTCTGAGAGACGTATGAACAGTTCAGACTAATGGAGTAGAACCTGAAATATCTGATGCTGCTGAAGAAAAGTACTCTCAAAAGGAAGACAAATAATAGGAAGAGATAAAGATTATTACTGATAAACTCAAGGAGGCAGAGACCCGTGTCAAGTTTGCTGAGAGATCAGTAGCCAAGCTGGAATCAACAATTGAGGATATGGAATATAAACTGAAATGCACCAAAGAGGCGCACCTCCATACACAAAGGATGCTGGACCAGACTCCGCTTGACCTGAGTGAGATGTCCTGCCCTGCTGCTGCTCCTCCCCTTGACACTGACTCCACCTGAGGGCAGCCTGCCCCGAGAAGCTGACCTTTAAACTGAGGGCTGATCTTTAACTGGAAGGCTGCTCTCTCCTCTAGCCGTCTACCTTCCCTCTCAATCATATCTTCTCCCCACCCCCACCCCCCCACCCCCGTCAAATTGTCTCTGCCTCTCCATATATGTTGTTGTTGTTGTTAAGTGCCATCGAGCCGGTTCCGACCCATAGCGACCCTGTACAGGGTTT